CGACGGCGTGATGACGATGCTACCAGAACAGGGCTTCACCTAAGTACCGCTACGATATGACGGAGATGGATTATGGTGGAGGGGGCACCACACACGGCTGAAAACAATCAACTTGTGTGTTCTAGGGTGCCCCCTGCCCCCGTATATAAAGGAGCAAGGGGGGAGGCCAGCCGGCCTTGGGGCGCGCCAAGGAGAGGGGGAGTCCTCCTCCTAGTAGGAATAGGACTCCCCTTTTCCTATTCCAACTAGGAAGTGGAAAGGGGGAAGGAAGGAGAGGGAGAGAGGGAGGAAAGAGGGGGCGCCGCCCCCCTCCTTGTCCAATTCGGACTCCCAAGGGGGGCGGCAAGCCCTAGGCCCTCTCCTCTATCTCCCACAAGGCCCATGTTGGCCCATTAGTTCCCCCAGGGGTTCCGATAACCCCTCGACACTCCGATAAATATCCGGTGACCCCCGGAACTCATGCGGTGTCCGAATATAGTCGTCCAATATATCAATCTTTATGTCTCGACCATTTCAAGACTCCTCGTCATGTCCGTGATCACATCCGGGACTTCAAACTATCTTCGGTACATCAAAACACATAAACTCATAATATCGATCGTCACCGAACGTTAAGCGTGCGGACCCTACGGGTTCGAGAACTATGTAGACATGACCGAGACATGTCTTTGGTCAATAACCAATAGCGGAACCTGGATGCTCATATTGGTTCCTACATATTCTACGAAGATCTTTATCGGTCAAACCGCATAACAACATACGTTGTTCCCTTAGTCATCGGTATGTTACTTGTCTGAGATTCGACCGTCGGTATCTCAATACCTAGTTCAATCTCGTTACCAGCAAGTCTCTTTTACTCGTTCCGTAATGCTACATCCCGTAACTAACTCATTAGCTACATTGCTTGCAAGGCTTATAGTGATGTACATTACCGAGAGGGCCCAGAGATACCTCTCTGACAATCGGAGTGACAAATCCTAATCTTGATCTATGCCAACTCAACAAACGCCATCAGAGACACCTGTAGAGCACCTTTATAATCACCCAGTTATGTTCTGACGTTTGGTAGCACACAAAGTGTTCCTCCGGTATTCAGGAGTTGCATGATCTCATAGTCATAGGAACATGTATAAATTATGGAGAAAGCAAGAGGAACAAACTAAACGATCATCGTGCTAAGCTAATCGGATGGGTCAAGTCAATCACATCATTCTCTAATGATGTGATCCCGTTAATCAAATGACAACTCATGTCTATGGTTAGGAAACATAACCATCATTGATTCAACGAGCTAGTCAAGTAGAGGCGAACTAGTGACACTCTGTTTGTCTATGTATTCACATATGTACTAAGTTTCTGGTTAATATAATTCTAGCATGAATAATAAACATTTATCATGATATAAGGAAATATAAATAACAACTTTAATATTGCCTCTAGGGCATATTTCCTTCATCCTCCTCAACCCTTGTTATGAGAATAACCATCGAATCTGGTGGTGGCAGGGGTCGGTGTGGTCGAAATCTACATCATTGAGATCGGGGGCATCAAAGAGGTGAAGGCGGTAGAGCTTGGTTGCATATGGTCCTAGCGTAGCTCCGCGCCATCGAATCCATCAGTGATAGAAGATAGTACAAGAGAAGGGAGGTGGATCTACGTTGCATATGGTGTTGGTGCGTCTCCTCGACATCGAATCCATCAATGGTTGGGTGGTCGCATTTCCTCGCTATCGAATCCGACAGCAACGAGGGTTTACATGGTCGGGTGCAACGCCAACCATTGGGGCAACAAAGAGGTGAACTTGTATGTGCAAATTCGTAGAAGGCCAAGGGATGGTTTGTAGAGTGGGAAAAACGCAAACAAAACATGAGATATAAATTAATGAAAAGTGTAACAGAATCACGGGAGAAATTTAGCGTTAGCAAGATACGTCTTGGTTGCGATTGATATACTATGTCGTTAGTATTAGAAGACGAAGCAGAGACAACTACCACTATTAAAATCTCACAATTCGTTTCGTTGAAAAATAATTTTCTTTTTTGCTGAGATGGTAGATTTGTTGAGGTGGAAACTGCATGTTGATTACTGATGTGGTTAAGCTCCATGTCAAGAGAAATCAGGAAGTGGAGACTCCTATTTAGATATAATAGATAGGATATAGCGAATAACTTGTAATTAAAAATAGTTTTTCATGTTTTTGGAAAAAGCCCGTGTAACTTTTGCGAAGGGGCTCACATTATCAAATATGTTAGTACTTAAATTTAAAAAATAATAATACTTTTTAAAATGTCCATATAATCTTGAAAAGTGTTCATGCATTTTTAAAATATTTGGGTATTTCTTTGAAAATGTTTAATTTCTTTAAAAATTGAAAAATGAAAGGAACAGAAAATTAAAATAAAAAATAAAACATAGTCACAAAAAAGGGGAAAACATAAAAGTTAGGAAACATGGAAGAAATAGAAACCAAAAAGTAAAAAAACTAAGAGGAAAAACACATGGAAAATGCCTGAAAGTCAATGCAAATGCCCCAACACCCCCGGTTGCACTAGGCGAGTGCTTAATTTACATGCCACTAGTAATCATGTAGATTTATCAAAAGAAAACTAGTAACCTTGACAACAATATTGTTTTCAAAATTAATCATATTAATTTATGTTTAATATAAATAATATCATTTTGAAATTACAATTAATGCAATTAACATGTTTCTAAATTATTGATGAGGTGATAGATACATCATGGGAGCAGCGTGAGATGTTAGATATAGATGGCTAGATGGCTCAGATGATATTCATCAAATTCGTGCTTTTATAAGTAGTACTTCCTTCATATCCAAATATAAGATGTTTTTTTGACACTATGAGAGTGTCAAAAAAGTGTTAGATTTTGATACAGAGGAAGTGGTAGATGGTAGATGTACAATGATAACATTTATATTCTAAAAAGGAAATATTAATTTATGTCATTATAAATATTCATACATATAAAGCAATGTTAATCATATTTTTAAAGATATACACATATAGTTATATTTGTGTATTTTTAGAAGTTCAAATATATTTTTAAATGTTCACACTGATGAAATAAAATATCCATCATGTATATAACAACTATTCCTACATAATAGTATAATACCTTATGCTTATCTATTTATTTTTAAAAGTTCATATATTTTAAGAAATATACATACACATCTGAATATTTTTTGGAGGATATAAATATATGTTCATACAAGGTGGAAAAATGTTGGCATCCAAAGAGGACTAAAATATAAAAAAGTCTAAGATGATTTGGATATTTCATTATGGAATATATATAGACTTTAATGAGTGAACTAACACACTAAAAGGTCAACATTACGAGATGGGCCTCGGCTTCACGGTCTGAAATAAATTTTCATGTTGGGCCTCCTGATCGCGAAGTGCCGAGAAAGTGTTCGAGAATTATCGAGAGAACCCCACAAACCTGAAGAACACCCGGGCCTCTCCAACCAGGTACTCTGAGCGGTGTGCGTTGTCCCGAAGCTTCAACATCTTTCCCCATCGTTCCACGATCATGGCATGAAATCCCCACCGCTCTATAAAAGGGCGCGGCAAAGTCGCCATCTCCCACCGAACAAGCGAGCAAGATAAGCATTGGCTTCCGAGTTCCAACGATCTCGTAGACACTCTCTCGTTTCAATTCTCGACCGACATTTAATCTTCCAAAGCTCCGTATCTGGTGCAATGGCCGCAGCGAATGCCCCCTTCGCTCTCAGCCGCCTCTCCCCGGCCGCGCGCCTGCCGTTCCGTGCCTGGAGAGCCGCGAGGCCGGCCCCGGTCTGGACCGGGAGAACCCGCCCGCTCTCCGTGGCCTCCGCGGCGCAGGAGAACAGAGACAACTCCGTCGACGTCCAAGTCAGCCAGGCCCAGAACGCTGGAAACCAGCAGGGCAATGCAGTCGAGCGCCGCCCTCGTCGCGCTGGATTTGACATCTCCCCGTTCGGTAAGTCCTCGTTCCTGATGTTCTTTTACACGGAATTTTGTTGCAGGTGTAGGAGAAGCAGAGCATGACGGTTTACTTCAACGAATGCAGGGCTAGTGGACCCGATGTCGCCGATGAGGACGATGCGGCAGATGCTGGACACGATGGACCGGCTGTTCGACGACGCCGTGGGGTTCCCCACGGCGCGGCGCTCGCCGGCGGCGGCGAGCGAGACGCCGCGGATGCCGTGGGACATTATGGAGGACGAGAAGGAGGTGAAGATGCGGTTTGACATGCCTGGGCTGTCGCGGGAGGAGGTGAGGGTGATGGTGGAGGACGACGCGCTGGTCATCCGCGGCGAGCACAAGAAGGAGGCCGGCGAAGGGCAGGGCGAAGGCGGCGACGGGTGGTGGAAGGAGCGCAGCGTGAGCTCCTACGGCATGCGACTGGCTCTGCCGGACGAGTGCGACAAGAGCCAGGTGCGCGCCGAGCTCAAGAACGGCGTGCTGCTCGTGTCCGTGCCCAAGAGGGAGACCGAGCGCAAGGTCATCGACGTGCAGGTCCAGTGATGAGTTTGTGCGAGACTCTGTACCCTGCATCTGAGGCTTTGAGATTTCAGCTGTCCGAGGCGTGACCGTGCGAGTGCGTGCTCTTTGTAGACGTAGTGTGCCGTTCTTCTCCGACCCTATCTGCGCGCTCGTTGCGCAGAACATGTCGTGCTGTACGTAAATGTACTTGGCAAATCAATGGAATAAGTGTTCGGCTGCTTGATCAGCTGGATACATTTCGATTAATTACTACTGTATCGAGACATTAGTTCCCTGTTGTGTCATCGTGTGATGTGATGTGTTCTTCTTTCAGAATGCGGAAGAAGCCGATAACTGAATCGAGATGCTATACTATAGGCAGCGCATCCTGACGAATCTGTAAGAGTGCAGTCTACTGGGCATAAAATTTTAAGAATGTGTTAACGGATACAATTCTTTTCTTCACTTTTGTTAGTCATGGACAACGGCTCGGGGTGCAAGGCTACATCAAGCCGCAGCTCTCCTATCAGTGTCAGACGACGTGTCGGATCCGACGGCCGCTGCAGCTCCACCCGTCCCCGTAGCTGCAGCAACGAGCAGATAAACTTGGTTTTCAGGAGTTCTTGAAAATCAACCAACACACACAGATCTGTTGTTTGCCTCAATTGGAAGGACAAATCGCAATCCTAACCTGAGTCGCTGGCGCTCTCTGGAGCGTCGGCGCTGTGGAGCCCGGCGGCGTGCGCCGCTTGCTGCATGTGTGCCGCGTACTGCATCATCTGTGAGTACTGCATGACTGCCGCGGAAGAACTCTGACCTTGGTTGCTGCCTGCTTGCATCTGCTGGAGATAGTACGGTGAGAACCCTTGCTGAGCTCCTTCCGGCCCAGCTGCTGTGTAGTATGTTTGCACTTGTGACTGCTGCTGCTGTTGCTGCTGCACGCTCGTTCCACCTTGCGCGCCATAGTAGCTCTGCGGCACGTATGCAGTAGGTAAAAATATTACTAAAACTTTATTTTCAATTGTTTTTTCAAAAAATGATGTCAGGCTTATAGCCGTGGCAGGGCAAATCAAACATTTTTAATGGCAATTTATATCAGCATGCAATGACAAATTTAGTTTGCAATTTCCTGGCAAAAAAGTTGAATCACAGATTTGTCATACTCGCCAATTAAACTTGTACGAACATAATGGTTCAAAAAACATGCGATTTTGCTGAAACCTAAAAATCTGGTCCACAAAATAAGTATTCCCTTCAATCCAAATTAAATACTACCTCCGTTTCAGTTTATAAGTCCTATGCGTATACCTAGGTTGTCAATTTTATCACCTTAATATAAACTATATAACACAAAAAATTATACGATTTGAAAATAGAGCATCTGAAGTTTATATTGATATATTTTTTGTAATATATGACTTATATTAAGTTGGTCAAATTAACGATCTAGGGGCACGCACACGCCCTGTAAACTGAGAGAGAGATAGTAACGCGGCTCTAGTACAAATAACACTTCTTTTCCTGAAGACAAAAGGTTCCCGTTCACCATGTCTCTATCTTTTTTTATCTATCCATTTTTCCCATCACATCATATTCTACCGTAAGTAGGTCACTCAATCACATTAATTTACTTACCTTTCACAATAATATGGAATTATGTTGTTGATTTCTGCGCAATATTTGATCGCACCTTTCCATGCGCCGATCGATCACGTTAATGTACTTAACATGTGTGACCCAGACTACCAAATTATTAAGCTAAAAAATATTTGGCTCCCGTGACAATGCACGAGCACGTACCACCATGTCCCTCCAATGATATCTTTCATCCAGCCGGGTTTTTTCTTGCCATGTCATATTTGACTGCACCTTCCCAGCAACTCAGCCACAATAATATTTTTTTTACCAATTCCATCTTAATTTACGAATGAACTTCTCATCAAACTATAAGGTAAATCATGAGCAGAATTTGATTAACATTTATTCACATAATTGAATTAATATGAACAGGTAAATCACGAGCTAACATATTAGAATATTTATATCCAGTAGCAACGCACGGGTTGTCTAGTATAAATAAATAAAAACTATGTGCATGGTAGTTTTCTTTTTGACATCTACTCCTCCATTCCTAAATATAAGTCTTTTTAGAGATTTCAATAAGAAATATATATACGGATGTATATGGACATATTTTAGAGTGTAGATTCACTTATTTTGCTCCGTATATAGTCCGCATTGAAATCTTTAAAAAGACTTATATTTAAAAACGGAGGGAGTAGTAATGAAAGGCCCATTTAGGAATTTTGGTACCAACGTCCTACGAGGTTCCTACAGAAAATATTCCTTTGGTACCAATGTCCTATGTTCCTTTGAAATTTCTATGTAATCGACTATTTACATCTGGATTTATCAAGGTTTTAAAACATGTTTTTCCCGGCATCGCAATGAGGTCCGAGCTATGGCTCTGCCAACTATCGCAGGCTATAGCGAAAGTACAATGTTGTTTTGAAGTAAAAAGTGAAAAGTAGGTACCTAACATAGAAACATTGGCCACGCAAGGACTAAAGTGAATCCATCGTCTTACCTCACCTCACGTTTCTTCTCTTTCTGTCTATACAATTTATGTATTTTCCTTATAACATCCAAACACCAATTTTAGTTTTCTTAGTGTACACCATTAAAGTAATGAAAATCAAAACTTGTTTTTGAAAAATATTTTAAAAATAGAGTTTTTCCGAAAACATAAAACTATTGAAAAATCCAAGGAGCTTTTGGAAATAGCTAAGGCCATGTTTGGTTCATAAGTCCTAGGAATTTTTTTAGTCCCAACTTATAAGTCTCAAATCCCTAAAAAATCCCTATATGTTTGGTTCCTGGGACTTATAAATCTCTATAAGATCATATTACAACTATAAGTCCCTCCTTAAGAGTCTTATTTCATAAGTCCCAAATGCCCACTTTAAGTCCCTATAAGTCCCTCCTGTTTGATTTAGATAAGACTTATAGGGACTTATTTAAGTCCCTGAAAACAAACACCCTGTAAGTGAGGGAATGTCATGTCTTCATAAATGATCATAATTATTCGTGGGTTCTAGTGTTGTTTAACAATACTCCAGGTTTTTTTCTTCTGAAATTTGGATGTTTGAATTCATATATTTCGGCAGCAATATTTCTGATTTATTTTAATCTTCTTGTTTTGCGATTTTATATTTTCGTACTTTTAAATGCATTTTGAATTGGGATTTCTAGTTTCAAAGAAACTTTGCTTAATTTGAACAATTCCTTTTCAAGACCATGCTAATTTAAATAAGTTTTGGTTAGCTCAATAATAGATGGATTCTTTGTCACGGGGGAAAGAATGATTTGTGCAACTTGGGATCTCAAAACGACCGTGTATGATTGCAAACCTCATGCTTCAAGCATCAAATCTTAGAGAAGGATACTAACCATTTGCATTTGATACATGTTTTCGTGAGAATACCCTCCCGTATACCTGCAGAGGCAAAACATCAAGCAGATGAATACACTTCCTGACGAAAATGGCCAATTAACTTCTTTTTGCGAGCAAATGCCAAGCTAATGGCAAGCGAAAGAAAGCAAATTTACCCGTAGTAGTAAGGATAGGCGTAGTGAGCCTGCTGGGGGAAGTAGGAGGCTGCAATCGCGGCAGCGGCAGAGCTCTGGTACGACGAAGACGATGTCGCCGGCGGCGTCGACCTGACCATCCCTGAACAAGATCGCAGTTCGTAGAGGTTTTCAGCGATACTTCGGTAGCTGTGAGTAGAAAAGCTGCTGATGCGAATCGATCGTACCAAACGGCGCCGCGGCGGCCGGATGCGCGCGCTGCGAAGCGCCGAGCGCCGCCAGGTTGCAGTTGGCCCTTCTCCCGTCGATCACCGGCGTCGGGTCCTGCAGCGCCCGCGCCGCGGCCTCGGGGTCCCTGAACGTCACCTGGGAAAGGATCGACACGAGCACCAGAGATGAGCTTGGCGCTCACATTGTGACCGAACGGAATCTATCTGCGGGAACCGAAGCTCACGAATCCGTAGCCCCTGGAGCGGCCGGTGTGCTTGTCGGCGATGACGACGGCCTCCGCGATGTCGCCGAACTGCTCGAAGTAGCGCCGCATGGCGTCGCGCTGCGTCTGCCACGCCAGGCCGCCCACGAACAGCTTCGTGAACGTCGTGTCGCCGTCCATCGGTCGAAGCTGGCTGGCGGAGGTGGTGGCTACCGATCGGCGGGTGCGGCAGTTGTGCGGACGTGCTGGCGAATGGCTCGCTGGATGCCTGAGACCGGGGGAGTATTTTTGTACGGGGGAGAGGCGGCGAGATGGAGCCCACGACGGGGGGCTGAAGCTGGCGATGATGAGCGCGTCGTGCGCGTAGTAATAGTCGTGTAATGGAGGGAGGGATCGGCGAAGGTGGATTTTTTGAGCTTATGCACCCGGACCGCATTATCTTGGCAGTCCGTTCTTTTTCCTGTACCTCGAGATACGTAGCATTAAGCTCCATTAACCAGCGTCATGACCTGACTCGTACAGTGGGTTGGCAGGCTGGTGGATAGGACTGAATGAATAAGTCCCCTAGGTTCTGAGACATCTTGTTTCTTTCTGTCGCCCGAAGATCGATGAATGCTCACGAGACGGGCTCACTGTCTAAATAAAATCTGGCATTGTTCCCTCTACTTTCCCGTGTCAATGCAAGAAAAAAAACATCCAGCTAGCTATCGTAGAAAAATGCATGTGCTTGACATGTGCGAAGCACATCCGGATGTCCCTGGCAAGATATGAGCGTTGGAGCTTCTAGACAACCATATTTGTAAAATCCGGACCCCCCTATGTACATAGACACGTCTAGATATACCCGGGGATAATGACTGAGCACACATCCGCGTGGACTTGCGTACCCTAACCATTGTATCCGTGACGTACCGTGCTCGTCTTCGCGTCCATCGTCGTCGTTACCGTGGAGATGTCCGCATCGACTTGCGTACCCTAACCGTTGTATTCATGGCATATGTACTTGTCTCCGGCTACCATCCCGATGTTTGCGTCGAGTCGTGTATCCTAAGTGTTGTATTCGTGGCATCACGTGCTCGTCTTCGTGTCTGTTGTTGCTACCGTCCAGACATTCGCGTCGAGTCGCGCACCTTAAATGTTGTATTCATGGTGTCATGCTCGCTTTGACGTCCGTTGTCGCTACCGTGCCGACGTCCATGTTGACTCATGTATTCTAACCATTGTATCCATGGCGTCATGCTCGCCTTAACGTCCGTCGTCGCTACCGTGCCGACGTCCATGTCGACTCGTGTATTTTAGCCGTTGTATCCATGGTGTCCCGTGCTCACCTCCGTATATGTGGTCACTACTGTACCCAGTTTGTGAGATTTCGAACATTCGAACGATGCAACGGACGTTTATCTCACGACGTTGAATGATGAAAAATGTATGAACTATGAAGTCCGAACATTTGTGAATGATTTGAGGCACGGCATTAGAGTTGACCGAATGCTTTGACTTGGTCGAACCCGTGCATCGTTCATGTTTTCAGTGTCTGGGCTTACCAAACCATGTATATTGTACATGAACCGTGACTTTTCATCATGTACTTCGTTCATGTCCTAAAACATGTGCATAGTACTACATGAGTTATGGTCACCAGGCACTGCCAGCGAACCCTCTCCCAGCCGCGTACCCCAAAAGCGGAGTGAAGTTAAAAACCATGTCACGAGCATGTGAAGCTGTGTTGTTGTTGACTTTGTCCATATGCGCATGTCTTTTAGCTGGAGTGCCCAGCTAGACTTCATACACAGTAGCCTACTGGAACTAGGATGATCACAGACCTGTGGCGGGTAATCGTACTGCCGCAACGCCCGTGACCTGTTTTAGCGGCTGACGACGGCACGGATCCCTGCACGTACGGGCGGCCAAGATAACGTGACCGGGGTGCGTAAGCTTCCCAGAATGATTTCGAGGGATCAGCGCACCCAAACGGTGTTCCTTTTTTGAGGTACAAGATGCGTGGACCATGGTCAAGCCTGGCTGGTTCCACTCTACAATACATAGTTACACAAGCGATAGCTACAGATAATTACACCTTGCCACACTTTACCACATCTAACATTAGGCAAATTTGATCAAGTTAGATAGGTGTTTGGTTCTAGCCACACCTAAAGCAAAAACTTTTTTATGAGCAGTGAACTCCACATGTCATAGACACAAAAAATGTGGTAAGATTCTTTTAAGCAAGCCAAAGGGTGACTAACAATTTAAGCAACTCAATTAAGGCAAATGTGACAAGTGTGGCAAAAATTATATGTCAGTATATGACAAAGATAGTTACAATCCAAACAGCCCCATAGTACTTCGGTCTGTAAAGAAATATAAGAACGTTTAGATCGAAACCACAAGAACATAGACCAGGCTGGTCAATCATGCGTTGTGGTTGGGAAGTCTGCTCGAGTGCTCGCACGCAAAAGCAAAGGGACCACATACAGCCTGACATAGAATGGGAAAGTACCAATTGCATCGCAGATTTGCTGAAACCTGAAAGCGATGAGACAGGCTGAGCAGTGCAGCTAAGCCAGCGTTTTGACGCCGGACTGTCCAAACAAGAATCGAAGGTTTGTATGGGTATACGAACGGACCAAACTACAGAAGTAGGGAGAGAGCAAGGATCAGAAGGAGGCTATGCACCTGGAAGGTACGGCGTATGTATCGCGTTATGCACCTGTAAAGGGAGCTACGATAATTAGCATGCTTTCTTCTTTTATTTTTTGCGAATAAAATTAGCATGCCTCCGCTTTTGTGTGCTGGCTGCTCGGTTGGCGCCTTGGAGGCAGGCTTTCGAAAAGACAAGGAGTAGTAGGATACGTGAAGGGCACGCACGCAGATGAATTACGTATGAGTTGGGATGAGACTTTTTTTCGAAAGTACGCCAAAAGCGTATCATATTTTTATAGAAAAAAGAAAAAAGTTGATCACAAGCGACCGTACAAGACGACGAGTCGTCAAGACATGAACTCCGACTCCGTACAGAGAAGACCAAAGCCTACTCTCTCACGAATCTAGCTAAACCCTCAACTCCTAACCCCGCTGACTTCCATAGCTTTGTCTCTTCAAGAATTTTAAGCACTGAGCTAGTGTCCGACCTGATTTGGACGTTCCTATTAAACACCCTAGCGTTCCTTTGCTTTCAGAGGTGCCACGCGGTAGCAATGACAAAGGAATCGAGAACTCTCTTGATCTTCCCATGAAAGAAGGCACGCGTCCTCTCCCATCATGCCATGAAAGTGTCGTCTTGGTTTGGGATTTGGATGTTGACTTGTAGGGCCTCGAAGCATCCGTGCCTAAATTGTCTCGCATAAACGCATTGGGCTAGGATGTGATCCACCGTGTCCTCCTCCTGCTCGCACGTGTAACAAGACGATGTAGTCTCTTGTAGCCCATGTCTAGCTCTACGATCCGAGGTCCAGAGCCGATATTGAGAGGCCAACCAGGCGAAGATTTTGCATTTGAGAGGCACCCAACTTCTCCAAATTTGGTTGGCGGTGGCGGAGCGGGTTAGGCCTAAGCACAACCTATTGTAGGTGGACTTTGCCGAATAGGTGCCGGACACATCACATGGCCAAGTGAAGGCATCGGGCTCCGTGTCATTCCTGGCCACCGTTGCAATAGCCTGCTGGAGGTGGATGAGCTGCATGTGGGCAGTGAAGGAGAGCTGGTCAGCTATATCATGTACCCAAGCGCCATGGAGAAGAGCCTGTTGGACAGTTCTCTTGTTCTTGATCCGTTTCTCAACCATTGCTGCGATCAGGGGGGGCGATGTCCCTGATTGAGAAGCCATTTATCCACCTATCTGTCCAGAATAGGACCGAAGAACCGTCTCCAACTTTGATGAGGACCATGATATCGAACACTGCTTTGGCTTCCTTGCCGATCACGAGATGCAAGCCTTGCCAGGGCCGGCTGGGGTCCGTTCTTCTGAGCCACTCCCACCGTACACGCAAGGCCAGCCCTTGTAGCTCGAGGTTCTTAATGCCCAAACCACCGAAGCAAGTGGGCCGACATATGATTTGCCAAGCCACCAAACATTGCCCACCATTGACAGCCATTCCCAGCCCAAAAAACCCGCTCTAATTGAGGGAGTCCTGGATTAGGGGGTGTCCGGATGGCCGGACTATACCTTCAGCCGGACTCCTGGACTATGAAAATACAAGATTGAAGACTTCGTCTCGTGTCCGGAAGGGACTTTCCTTGGCGTGGAAGGCAAGCTTGGCGATACGGATATGTAGATCTCCTACCATTGTAACCGACTTTGTGTAACCCTAACCCTCTCCGGTGTCTATATAAACCGGAGAGTTTTAGTCCGTAGGACAATATACAGAACAACAATCATACCATAGGCTAGCTTCTAGGGTTTAGCCTCTCCGATCTAGTGGTAGATCTACTCTTGTACTATCTATATCACCAATATTAATCAAGCAGGACGTAGGGTTTTACCTCCATCAAGAGGGCCCGAACCTGGGTAAAACATTGTGTCCCCTGCCTCCTGTTACCATCCGCCTTAGACGCACAGTTCGGGACCCCCTACCCAAGATCCGCCGGTTTTGACACCGACATTGGTGCTTTCATTGAGAGTTCCTCTGTGTCGTCGCCGTTAGGCTTGATGGCTCCTACTATCATCGATAGTGATGCGATCCAGGGTGAAACTTGTCTCCCCGGACAGATCTCTGTCTTCGGCGGCTTTGCACTGCGGGCTAATTTGCTTGGCCATCTGGAGCAGATCGAAAGCTACGCCCCTGGCCGTCAGGTCAGGTTTGGAAGTTTAAACTACATGGTTGACATCCGTGGGGACTTGATCTTTGATGGAGTCGAGCCACTACCGAGCGCGCCGCACTGTCACGACGGGCATGATCTAGCTCTGCCGCCGAACAGTGCCCTAGAGGCCGCACCCGCATCGACTTTGACCCTTAATTCGGAGCCAACTGCGCCGATCAAGGATGGGTGGTTGGACGCTGCCTCGGGGGCTGCGATCCCAATGACGATCGAGCCGAACACCAGCCCCGCACTCTGCGAGACTCGTGACTCCAAGGAGCCGGACTCCTCCCCGGACTCCTAACCTTCCGCGCCCCTGCCGATCGAATCCGATTGGGCGCCGATCATGGAGTTTGCCGCCGCGGACATCTTTTAGCACTCGC